TGCAAATAAAAAACTTTATGATTATTAGTTTCATAAAAAATGCCAATATTTTAAAACATTTTAAAACCGTTTTTATCTTTTCAGTGACATTTTGGTAATTCTAGCTTATGAACATCAAGTATTTTAAAAACTTTATTTATTGTATAACTTTTTTAAACTTGTTATCTAAGATTAATCTTTTGCAATTTAAAACTAACATTATGTTTGCCAACTACAATAAAAATATATGTATTTTAAAAGCACTATTTATCCTAAGTAACATAATCCAATAAAAAATCGCAAGTTTTGACGATGAAAACAGCTCACAATGCAATGCAGAGAAGTTAAAAAATGCATTTTTCAAACTTTTATTGATAAGTTCAGCCAATAAAAATAGTGCTGCCATTTTACAAAAACTTTTTCATTGAATGTCAAACTGAGAACGGTCACCAAAACATCTGTTCAAATACTTTGAACATGGAGGAAACGGCAGTAGCAAAGTTGAATGGCATCGACAATGAGCCAGCAAGCAAAGTGGAAATTGGAGCATAGAAGACACCATCTTCCATTGTTGTTTCTACCAAACTGCTGCCTCTGCGGCATCACCAACAGTCGCAACGATGCTGAAACGAGAGAGAAAGAGAAAAAGAAAGAAAGAGAGAAAACCGAATGTTTCCCTGCTATTCTCTCTTCTCCTCACTGTGCTGTCCTCACTGCAGTCTCCCATGTCGTTAACAGTAGCCAGCAAAGGACATTGAGGGCGACTCAAAAAGAGGAAAAACCGAACGAGCGCGAATTGCAATGATGTTGCAGTTTGTTCCAATTGGAACACTGACGCATACTTAAATCTCTCAGGCTTTTGCCGTGCACTACAGCAACTTCTTCTTTCTCTTTCTTTCTCTCTCTCTCTTTCTCTCCTTCTCTCTCTCTCTCTCTCTCTCTCTCTCTTGCTGCATCCGAGCCGCCACAGCAAGCACTGTCGGCTACCATCGAGTAATACAGTTGCCTGCATTAGCATCTTTCTCTGCATTGTCGTGCACACACACACACACACATCTTCTACATAGCAAATCCCCCTTATATTGGCTACGACTTGACTTTCAATTCGTCAGTTTGTGCAGCAATACCCTTAGAGAAGCGCGCATGATTTTTGCAAATAAACTCATTCTTTTGTGCATTTTAGAAATGAAATTTGCCCATTTTCTCAGTTGTCACATCATAATCATTGCTTGTAAAAAGCATATAACTGAACAACAAAACTAACTTGACTACATTTATAAGGTAATTCAACAATTTAAAATTGACATACGCTTTTTAGTTGATAGTATTTCTGTGATGAAAACGTAACGTTTATATTTTTTCAACTTTTAGCTCAAGATAAAACAAGCTCAATTTGCAAAAAATTATTGTGATTATAAAACTTTTATAATTTTCAAGTTACAAATGCCATTTTTATAAAAAAAACTAAAATTGTTTTTAATTTGTGATTACATATTTTGAAACACTTGAATATTTAAACAAAAAATCAAATTTAAAAACAAAATTTATATTTTATTAATAACATTTGCATTACGTTATAAAAACAAATTTGTATGTGCCGCAATTTTTGCATCTTTTTAAGCAATGTTTATTTTTACTATTACAAAATTCAATGACCTGCTATGCATTAACATTTAGTTTAATTTCTTTTACAATTTTTTTTCATATGTCAATTACTTAAATTTATAACATAACCTTCCAGCTTATTTTCTAAATGAGCTTAAACTTATGTTCAGAATTGCAAATATACGTATGAGTTAAAATTTCATTATCAATTGACAAATATTTTACACAAACAAACTTTTGATACACTAAAGCACAAAAACAAAACTTTGCCCTTTTGCTCAAATTTTTAACCTTGTTTAAAACAAAATAATTTGTTAACAGTTTAAAAACTTTGCATTATTAACATAAAATTCACACATTTTAAATAAAAATGGCTTCAAGTTTCCCTAAACATCATTGTCTTCACCGAATTATAACATTTTTGTCTGCTGTAAGTTTTTAATAATTTCAATAAATTTTAAATTAACTAAAATTTTTTATTTTTTAGTTTTTGGTTGCTGCTTCGTTCGTGATTATTCTAAAAAAAGATTGTCGTTTGGTGCCAATAGAAGAAGACTCCGTTCTTTGGTCTTCTATGATCAACAATTTAACTTTACAGCAGGACTACATTGAGCACTACTACGATGACCTTCAAGTGTACCACATTGTGGTAATATCAATCGATGTTTTCATTTTTTTGCTCGCCTTCCTCAACATAGCCCCAGCTCAGGAAGACATTCGTTTTGGATTTCATTTGCTTGTAAGTAATCCAGTTTTATTATCCATTTCACTAGCAAAAGTAACTTTTGAGTTTTAAAAAATTTATTATTTGCTATGTTTTTAGTAATTTCTACTTAAAAAATCATTTATTATTGAGCAATTTGATTTTTTGAGTTAAAATCAATTTAAACTATTTATCTTACAAATAATATTGCAGTATGAAACAAATACATATTTTTATGTTTTTCTTCTTTTTACAGTTGATCATCACGCTGGGCTCAATAACCATTCTTGCTTGTTACACTTCTTACGTCAGTTTTCATATGCCTTGTCACGTTTCAATGAGGATTGAAGAGAAGCTAATTGACCAACCTCAGGTATATCAGCACAGTCACGGCAACAAACAGAACACCAAAGGATTGCCCATCAATGCCTACCTTGAAGCTGACTATCATTTGCTGGCGGTGACCATTCTCGATGCCCTTTCCTGTGCTCTGTTTATCCTTAGTACTCTGGTTCTTTGCGGTGATGCTCGAGAGGAGGCAATTCAAGATGAGTACGTGGCCAGAGTGAGGGCAAGCATTTACTGAAATGACAAATCAACATTAACACACATTGCCAGGAGACTATTGTACAAATAAACAACAATTTTTGATTGATTCAAACACAAAACGTTAACAATTTTAAACCAAAAATTTTTGAGTTTTTGTGTAATTTTGTAGTATTTGTCATAAAAATAAAAAAACGTTGTTTTAAATGAAATATTTTTTGTTTAACATTTGCAAACTATTTCTAAACATTATTTAATTAAAATCATTTTTAACAAAAACTATTGTTTTTGTTTCCAATAAAAATTTTTGTTTAGTTTTTTTTAAAACTACATTTGTATATCACTAGATGGCAGCAATGTACTTAATAATTTTGTTTTTTAAATGAAAAAATGTTTTTATATAAAATCTGTGTGGCGCCAGCCACAGCTGACGTTCACTCAGTTTCAACCAACGTTGACCCAACGTACATTTGCACTCACACACACACACCACATCTCACTCATGTCACACTCACACACATCACAGTTTACACTTTTGTCACTCTGCACACGACGGTATTTAAAACCTACCGTACGTAGCACACGACGAGAACAGTCAGTCTTCACATCACCAGACTCTGTTACACTGTTACTCCGTCCACCACTCTCTCTCCATCTCTGTGACTCCCCATCATCTCAACAATAAACCTCACCGATTGCTCATCCGCTACATCTGAATATTTAATGGTGTTTAAAGTTTGTTTTGACATTGTAAATTTTAATTTACTTAACCATTGAAAAACAATGTTTTAATAAGTTAATCTTTTTTAGATAAATCAATAAAACCCTTTTAAAAACTAAATGTTTTTATTTTTACTAGTTTTGCTGTTACATTTATTATAAATTGTTCGAAAATTTATTAAAACTTTGACCTGATTTCATACTTCAAAAACTTTGAATTTTTTGAGTTTAAATTTTGTTAACAAAACAAAACTTCTTGCTAATTCAAATGTTAAAGTAACAATTGACAAAACGACTTGACAAATTGCCTAACTTGCCCCTCACTCCCTCCTTCTCTTGGAGACAATTAAAACGATGACAAAGGAGTTTCAGCAAAGTTGACATGCCACATGAACACATGTTCCTAGCTCAAAGTACACCGCCGACATGTACCTGAGCGGCACTGCGCTAGTTGACAGTAATAATAATGACATTTGCCAACTGCCCCGAACAGTAGCAGTGTTTGCCTTCCTTTAAACTGACTCTAAATTGAGCCCTGCCGTCGTCTTTGCCGACAAAGTCAACATCAGTTGTCGGCATTCATTCATTGCAGCAAATTTGCAACAACTTCAAATCAATGCTAGTGTGCAATTGACAAGTCAGGCAGCTACCTTCCTGGCAACCTGGCAGCTTGTCACCTCTCTTTCTCTTGTGTAAATGCACGCATTCTGGGCAGCAACAATGGCACCAAACAGGCAACATTGCATGTTCTCTACTACTACTACTACTGGCCGTGTTGTTAGCCGTGATTTATTGACTTTGCATTACAGTGCAAACTTACAAATTAGTGCATCTCACAGAGGAGTTTTGTTGAGTAGTCATAATAAGTAGTACAAATGTCAAACGATTTCTAACAGCAGTTTAGTTAGCAGAGAGTGTCACTCTCTTTTGCGACTAGGATCAAGGCATTTAAATATTAAAAATGATGTTTCTTCTCTATTGGCCGGGAAATGTGTCAATTTGTGCGCATATGTGAGTGAGTGCATGTGCGAAGGTAGCTAACAAGTGCGACAATAAAGTAGACAATAAAGTGCAGATGAGTTCAGTTGGGTGAGAGTAAATGTTGTTGTCGTTGTTGTGTGCGTGAGACAGTGTTTTTATTGCTATATTGGAACACACGTGTAGGATTGTAAAAATGGTATTTAGAGGTAGTTTATACATTTACAAGAAAAAATGTTGTATATAGACTTGATTGTTAAGCAAATAAACAGTACTGCTAGTCGGTATGTCAATTAAAAATGCACCAATTCAAGTAAACAAAGTTACTTTGATGATAATTGATTGTGGTAGTGTGCTGCCTACTGAAATCGTAGTATCAAATAGTTGCAAACTAGAAACCTGAAACAGTTGGAAGTATGTATGTACAGGTAAAAAGGGGGTGTTCTAAACGGCTAGTAAATCATCGAGCTCAGTATGGTCGCCAGAAGCCATTTGAACCATTAGACTTGAGGGAAAGTTGTCCCCAGGACATGTTGGAGCCGGTGGAGCCATTGCACGAGCCGTTGGAGTGGTTAGAGCCATTTGGACTGCCATTGGCGAGAAGCCGCTGGCCAGTTGGGCTGTTGCTGTTGGTGCTGTGGTTGTGGCTGTGGCTGAGTTGCTGCCTGTCCCCTGGGGAGCTCTCGGCAGAGATCATTCGAGTGTCGAGCAACGGTGGAAAGGAGGTGGTGAGGCCTGCCTGACCACCGCCACCACCACCACCACCACCGCCTGCATCATCACTGTCCACGTCCACTGAATTGTTGTCCTCCTGTGACTCGGAGGCATTTGTGCTGGTGGAGTACTTTCGTTTAGGCTGCTTCTTCACGCCTGCTCGACTGCCTGACTTTCTATCAGCAGAGTCACCATTTTTATCTGGAGAGCCAGGCTCAGATTTGAAAACTTTGTTCTCTGCTTTAGAGCTACCAGAGTCCGGTTCAAAGGCCCTTTTGCTGGAGTTTCTCTTCTGAGAGTGGCCATTCTTCAGAACGGACACCTTCTCAAAGTCGTCCTTGTCCGAGTCGACATTCACCTCAGCATTCAGGTCCTCCTCGTCTTCCTCATCTTCCTGGTCCTCTTCGTCTTCGTCCTCATTGTGGCCGTCGTCGTCATCCTCCACGTTGATCTCCTCCTCGACGTCGCTGCTTTCCAAATCAATCGCCTGCTTTCGGTTGCGTGCTCGTTGAAACATCAGCTGCAGATCCGCCTGCGCCTGGCTGGCAAACAGCATTGGATCAAAACCTCCTGGCTGAAGGTGGTGAGGAGGAGGAGGAGGAGGAGGTAGAGGAGGGTGATGCTGAGGGTGATGAGGAGGTGGTGGCGGCAGAAATCCGGGCAGCAGTGGACCATGCGGAGAGAAGGCCGAAGAGGGCTCCAGAGGAAAAACCCCAGCTCCCAATCCGCTTGTCTGCGCTGATGAGGGTGGTGGTGGTGGTGATCCAAGTGCTCCAGCAGCACCAAACGGTGCGCCACCATTGGCGGCGGCGGCGGAGAGAAATGCGGCAGCTGCCGCAGCGAGGTGATTACCATGCAGAAATTGATTGGCCATCTCGGGTGTCAGCTCAAGTGAAGGAGCAAGTGCTGGTCCTCCTCCTCCGGCTGCTCCAGTCGGCGGCATTGCCAATGGTCTGACAAATGGCCTGACTCCATTTGGCACTGCAATCAAAGGTCCATTAGGTGATTCGGCTACTGCTGCCGCTGTTGCCGCATTAGGTGCACCAGTGCCATTTGCAACTGCTGTCAACGGTAACTTCTCGTTATGATGTCCATTCACTGCTGCTGCCGTCGCATCAATGGCGCCATTTACAGTCACTTGTCGGCTGCTGTCGCCGTTCACTTGATGGTGCTTTGCCCCCTCTCCTCCTTTGTTGTTGTTGTTGCTGTTTGACCCATCTACGTTTTCAGAAAAAGGTTAAAAAGAAAAAAAGCATATTGTTTTAGTTTTATAATAATACTAAACAGTGCAACAAACTATTGCAGTAAAATATAAAACATCGCACTATTATTTTTCTCTGCTGCTAAATCTCTTATCACCCTAATTGCAGTCATATTTTTCCTTTCTTCAATCACCTCTTGTTCTTCCATTCTCTCCGTTTTAATCTCATTTCTCCATTTTTTCCGCTCTTGTATACTTTGTTTGTACTCCCGCACTACTTTAGCGCTCCGTTGCATCTCTTTATGAATTTCATTAATCATCTCATTGTTCGCTTCACTTCAAACGGTACACTGCTCTGTGCTGTGCACAGTGTGGTAAAGTGGTTCTCCTCACATCACTGCTTTAAACACACAAAGAAGGCTATACTTGCTGATCAGTTCTGGCATCTCTCTATCCTTCTTTCCTTTTCTGCAAAACTACCAACTTACAAAAGCTCATTTTTTCACTACACACATTGTCTCAACCTATTATCGTCATCGTTTCACTTTTTTACAGCAGTGGCGGCGTCAGCGGCCTTTTCTACTGAGCTTTTGACTTGATTTGAGACGGGAAAGAAAATCAAAGCTCATGTGCCCATAAGCACAATGGCAAGTGATAATTTTTTGAAANTTTTCACTACACACATTGTCTCAACCTATTATCGTCATCGTTTCACTTTTTTACAGCAGTGGCGGCGTCAGCGGCCTTTTCTACTGAGCTTTTGACTTGATTTGAGACGGGAAAGAAAATCAAAGCTCATGTGCCCATAAGCACAATGGCAAGTGATAATTTTTTGAAACTTTATGAAGCTTGCAGATGAGAGTGCAGCAGAAGTAGTAGTAGTAGTAGTGGCCAGTGAGGATTTTCAGTCAGTGACAGTGACTGTTACTACTGCCACAGCGATAGGAAGACTGTTTCTAAGAAGATAATGCGATTAGAGGAGAGCCGCACCAACCCAAGACTAGACCGACATGGTTTGCTGCTCAGAGGAATACAAAGAAATTAAGAGGGAAAGAGAGAGAGAAAGAGAGAGATAAAAAAATAAAAAGAAATAAAAAGAAAACAGAAGGCAAAAGAGAGATGGACAGCAAAAGTGAACAGAACTTTAGTAGCACTAATTTGATGCTTTTAGCTGTATTTGGATTAGATTACTGTCGCATAGCTTTTTGCTCTTTTGCCGCCTCTGCTGCAGCTCAGTTTTATTTTTCTTTTTGTCTGTTTGCCTGCACTGCTAATGATTGCATGCACTGCAAACATTAAAAGGAATGCGACGATTTAATAAGCAGCAGCAGTACGCCGGTCCTATTTATTCTCATCTTTTTTGTTGTTGCTGCCGCTCAGTGCAAGTAATACTGGCCAATGATTGCGAATGAAATAAATGAATCAGCCTTCAATTAACTGTTTACCTTTGTGAGAAGGTTTGGAGGAGCTGCCGTCTCGATGATGATGAGACTGTGCGTGGTTGTTGCTCGTATGGTGGTTGTGCTTGCCTCCCTCCTTGCTGTGATGTCCACCACTACCACTGTTGCCATTCTTCGCCTGATGTAAATCACTGCTTTTACTGCTATTACTTTGACCATTTCCACCTTTTGCCTCGTGATTCGGTGCTTCAGGTGCTGAGGTGGGAGCAGGTGGAAAGGGAAGACCGGCGGCGGCGGCCGCTGCAGCCCTCGCCTGGTGGTTGTTGTGCACTGCAGCCGCAAACAACGGCAGATTGGCGGCATTGGAGAGGTAGTAGTGAGACCACTCGGGCGGTATTTTGAACGGATGCTCACCGGCTACAGCAAAAAAGATAGAAAAAAATGGGTTGATCAGTTAATGTGGCAGTGTGGACAACAAGTGCCAACAACTAAGCCCTGCCGCTGACTTACGTGGTCCATTGGGGCCGCCGGGTGGAAAGCGGCGCCCCTCTGCGGCGGCCACTGCAGCCGCCGCCTGCAGCGCCCACTGGTCGACCTGCGCCTTGGCCGCCAGTCGCCACTCTGAGGGACAGGGCAGTGGACTGCTCAGTGGGCCGCAGTTTCGACTGACGTCCACCAGGGGGTGGCGAATGGCGCCAGGGTGCAGCTGAAAGGAGTTGGCAAAGGCGCGAAAGTGCGGATTCTGCTGGGCGCCAGGAAAAGGCCAGCACTGGTTCATCAAACCTGATTTGGAGGAGAAAGAGAAAGAGATCAAGTTAAGTTTAGTTTTTATTTAAAGCCAACATTTTCTATTTTAATGCAGTGTGTGAGTGTGAGTGTATTAAAAACTATGCGTAGTGAACAGTGTGTGTGTGTGTGCAAAAAACTGTCAAAAGTAAATAAGAATAAATTAAATAAAGCCAAAAACTGAAACTATTTGCTGCACGCCTGCAACGCTTCATCAATTTTAGTTTTTTGCTTATTTAAATCTTTTTCCCCGCTTTTTTCTGCATGCATTGATTTACGATTTCTGCTGATGCTTGCAAAAAGCAACAACAACCGAAACAGCAGCAGCAGCAGTAGCAGTAGTAAGAAAGTGCTTTGAGTAGAACATTTCTTTTGTCACTCCATCTAGTCAAAGGGAGAACATTACACACACACACACACACTCTCATACTAACACTCTCACTTGCACTCTTTGTGATAAATGGGTTTTGATTTGAGAGCATTACTGTTTTTTGTTGCTGTTGCTACTGTTTCTAGTGTTGCTATTTCCCCACTCTCTCTCTCTCTCTCTCTCTCTCTCTCTCTCTCTCTCTCTTGTGTTTTCTTCCGATGGCAACTGCAATTGGCAATGGATTATTTGCCTATCAAGAGAGGAAAGTGTTGCCGATGCCCCCGCTTTTGTCTTTACTGTAAACCATGTAATGAGTTGCAATCAATTAGAGACATGGAGACGCCGAGGGGAGAGGGAGGACAAAAGGGCAAACTGGAATTGAATTACAGCCGTCTGAGCCAACTTTAATGAATCAGCGCACTGCGGCACTGTGTGAAGCACAATCATCAGCCAGATCTTTTAACTCTTTTCACAGTGTGACTGATCTTCTTCATACTTTGCATATGCTTCCTCAAGCCCCACTTAACCCAAACGCCTTTTCAGCTACAATTACCCTTTCCCTCTTTTTTCCTTTTATCGTTTTGGGGTATCATCTTCCCGGGCACGGCTGAAATATGATCCTCACTGTTTAAACTTTATTTCATTCATTTATCCTTTCTCCTTCTCATTACCCGCAGATGCGGACAACTCGTCTGGTTGCGGATGGTGATAGCGGGTGAAAACAGTTTTTTGTCGCTATTGTCAACTGTCAGTGTCGGCACAAGTGTGTCACACAGCAGTGGGCAATCAGCAGTGGGGGTCATGTGTGGAGAGGAAAAGTGGATGCTACTGCTGCAGCAATCAGCAAGTGCTCAGCTGATTCTCTCTGTCTCTTTCTCTAGTGTTTTGGCACCAGTGTTCAACTAGAGGGAAAAAATAAAGGGACTGCAATGTGGAAAGGACAACAAAAAACAGGCGCTGATCGCTGACATTGTCGATTGCTCTTATCCAAAAGGTCAACAGAAGGAAAAAAGTGGGAGAACAGAAACTGCTGAAACGGCAGCAGAAGGGGCATTAATAATAAGCAACAACATCGGCGGCGGCGGCAGCAACGTCAGTCAGTAAGTTGCACCAGTGGTACTACAGTGTGCCCAGTGTTCACAGGAAAATATGCACGCACACACAAAGGCAACCAAAGGAAAAGGGCGCTCAGCTCATTTGATAACCGGCAGCGCGCGTGCATCCTTATTACCAGCCAGCCAGCCAGCCAAAGGAGCTAAGCAGAGTGCCAATCAAATAAGTTGCAGTGACACGAGCGAGTCAGCAGGGGGAAGCTGAGGCTCAGATCGAAGAGCACTCTGTGCTTATTAAGGGGACACAGCAGCACAAAGTGATTGCCCCTCATTTTGCTAGGGCTGGTGGGCAGCAGCTCATTGTTCAAGCCTGTTCGTTTTGTGGGGTTCACTAGGGAGAGAGAGAGAGACAGGCTAGGGCAGCGACTGCTCCCATTTCGAGGTTTGTTTGGTGATTACCGCACGCTGGCGGTGTGCCACTGATGCCGCACTGCCACTGCCACCACTGCTTCCCATACTCGGGCCCGGTTATTCATCCGACTGCTGCTGTTGCTGCTGCTGCTGCTGGTACCAGTTGACAATTACCCGCCGCACCATCACCACAGTTAGGTCAGCCACATAGTTCCCGCAATGCCGTGCCTGGAACTAGTGTAGCGGTGATCCCCACTGGGCTTTGTCCCTTTCCTGTCCTCTTCTCTTTGGAGAAGTGCGCGCGGTTTATTCCGCAGGCGAGTGAAAGCTGCTGCT